TCAGTTTTTCACACATAGTATATTCACAACTTATTCAGACTAATTGCTCAAAATCTACTGTAAATAGATAATATTGTTCTTTCATCCAATGAAAATCATTCTTTACAGTCTTTACAGAGTTGATCACAATGCTTCTACCGATGCTATTTTTACTGAATCAAAAGGTTTAATCTATGTGCTCAACGAGAGAGTTTTACATTAACATTGTCGTCCGTCATGTAAAGAACATGTCTACTCTTACAAAAGTCAACTACAACATATTGCTTGCCGCTCTGGCAGTGACAGATTTGATTGTAGGTCTTGTGGTAGAGCCTCTGTTCGCTTCTCGGCTGTTTTGTCTTCTCCAAGGATGTTCAACAGCGTGTATTTTCCCCGCTTATTTCATAATGTCGGTCATGTGCGCTGGTGCTACGCTGATAATATTCATGGTGTCCAGTATTGAGAGGTACCTGGCCATAGRACACACTCAGTTCTACCTGGAAAACGTCACAACCAAGAAAATCATTCTCACTACGGCCTTAGCGTGTTTGATCGGTTTATACCAGCGACCTTGTCAGCAAGAATACTTTTGAACGACTACAATCGATTTAAGAAAGTACCAGTCGCAGTGGCTGTGGGTCTGAATGTTCTCATCATTTTATTTTGCTCAATCAAAGTACAAGTCACCGCCTACCGTCAACACGAGCCATCAACGCACAGGCAGCGACAGTACAGCTACAACAAGAAGAACAAGAAGAGCAGGAAAGGCGACTTAARGAATACAAGCGAGCATTCACTACAACGGGTTTACTGGTAATTGCATCGATTCTTCTCTACTGCCCATACATCATTAACGCCATCCTAGTAGCCAACAATGGTGGAGACAGGTCCAGCCTTATCTCAACTCCTGGCTTTGACGTGACGTTCATCCATCTACAGTCCCTGTTGAACCCGATCATCGTATCGCTTCGATTATCTTACATTCGTGAAAGTGCGAAGAACAAACTATGTTGTCGTGAGTAACCTTTGTATATTGACAGTTGTTGTAGACTAGACTCTTTTAGCTTCTTTTGATGACTTCTATTAGTCTGTATTGTACAACATACTTACAGATGAAGACTGATTAACCTCTTGAACTGTCAGTTGTCATAAAACTACATAATTTTTCTTAGAATTTCTTGAAGAACTACAAGTTTAGGCTGCTTCCTTATTGAGCTAATTGTAGCTGTAATACTATGGTCTAAAACTGTGCATGTTTCCATGTAAATGTTTAATCATTCTTGGTGATT